TTTCAATACACTCGGGATTTCGAACGTCAGGATTTCGATAGACGAGATTTTTTATAAGAAAAAAGTTGAAAGACATATATTAATCAATTTTTTATACAAATATAATTTTCATAATTTTGAGTAAATATTTTGATACAAAATTTTTTAATAGTTTAGTAGGAAAATGGACACAAAATATGTAATATTCATAAAAACATATCTATAAAATCAGTAATACCTCGGATAGTGCGGTTTCGATCAGTTCGAATTTACTATAGTCCGGTTTCTATATAATTAAGTTTCTATTTCTGCTGTTTATTACAGTGCAAGATATTGTTTGTATCGAGGACTATGCAAGTTATTGTTGTAATTCCATCTTAATTGCAATTTGAATAATAATAACTATGAATTATTGTTGTAACTTTTACGTTGATTACAAAGCTAAAGTTCATCATAATATTTCAATGATGTAAATTTACATAAATAATTGCATAAGTGATTAACAATGAAGCAGTGGAAAACGAAAGAGAAATAGACTGACCGAGCCGAGCAATTTCAATATTTAAATGCACAAAGCGAAGTTTCGCGAGAAGCTGGAAAATTTTCAGGCGTCTGCAAAACTCGAGTCGCGGCTCCCCTCTAAGGTGTATGTATGTGTTGGTCCTTTTCAGAGGAAAACTTCGGGCGATGCAAAATAAGAAGGCATTAATTTCGTTTTAATTGCTCCGTTTATTTGAATATTTAAAATGCTTTTCGCTCCGAATTCCCGCAATTTTCCTCGACATGACTTTCCAATTTTCCCCCATCCATCCGACGCCGGAACTCCAGCAACGAGAAAAGAAAATGCAGTTATTTCACACCAGAAAATGATTTCGCATTTCCACATAATCTGCGGCAAATATAAAAAAAGTTATAAAGAAAATTTGTTTATGAAAATTGTTTATGTAATGCGGTTCTATTGATTCGATTTTTTTTTCGTTTTAAAATTATTATAATTTATATTTTGGATGAAAAGTGTAGAAAGGAAAAAGGTGTGCAAGTTGAAAGTCATGCAGTAGTTTAATGAAATCCTACGGGACGCAAGAGAATTTCCCTAAAGGATGAAAATACGGTGTCAATTCTAAGGAAAATGCACACACTTTACGTAACAAAGTATCAGGGGATACGAAATATAAAACTAAACTGAAATTAATACTCTATGTTGACTTTCAGTTTTTTTTTTGTTTATTTTTGTAGACTGACGATAAATAAAGTTTGAAATAAAAACTTCCCTTTTTTCCTTCAAAAATTTTACTTTATTAACAATTTTGGAGAGGATATGCACCAAAATAGGGCTGTAAACATAAAAAAGACATTTTTACATTAATAATAACTCAATACAAATATATAAATATGACAAATCAAAAAAAAAAGTCAACTACTTAATTTAACATTATTATATCGAATAACCACTGTAGTTTATGTATTTTCTATCATATTATTTTGTGTACAATAAAGTTTAATTATATTTTTTCTTAAATGAAAAATCTACATTAATTCTAATTTATTTGATTTTGTTTTAGGTAAATTATGTAATTAAATATAATAAACATTTTTTGTATATATGAAATAGGCTATTAACTGAAGTATTTCCGCCTATATATATATGAGATAATACATAACAACTGCTTAAATGTATATAATAGATGTAGAAATAATATACTGATACAAATAGATTCTTTGATCATAAACTTTGAAGTTAGATGTAATGGGACGAGGTCGAATATCACAGGCTAAAGTGGATAATCGAACTGCAGCGAGCTCCTGTAATTTGCAACATAAAATAGTTCTGTTCCACACGATGACCGTAAAAAGACAATTGATAGAAGAGCTTTGTAATTCAATTCCAATTCTTTCTCAGAAAATGTCTGGAAAATAATAAAAGGTGTAATAAGGTCATCATATTTTCATAAAAATATTCTTATAAGATATTTCTATGAAAATAAATCATATATAATTTATTTTGGTGGTTACAAATAAATATCTAAATACAGTAATACCTCGCACAATACGGTTAATAACTCGCACTGTTTGAAACCAGACTAATAAAGAAAAAAACGATAATTTTTGTATACAAAATAATTTTGTCCATTATTTTTTTAGAATTTATTTTTATTTGTCTTAATTAAAATTTAGTTTGTTTTAAAATTTTCAACTCGGACTATAGTGAATTCTGACCGTACTATACGAGGTTCTGCTTATTTGTTAATTTTACTAAGTAATTTAATTTTAAATTGATTGTAAAGTGATTTATTTACAATTTTATTTTTATGTATTTTCTAAAAAAACTGCATATTAATAATTTTAAGAAAATTTGATTGGTATAAGGTGAACTATTAAAAATTATATTATCATTATTTAATTAATTTTAAAAGTAATTATATAAAAAAAACGATAATTGGTTGAGGTTTTTAATGCTGTTATACAACACTTATAAATTCTAGTGTGAATAGTAGAAACTCTATACATTTGGTATGTATAAATCAATGACATATCCTTTGTATCCGACAAGTGTAATATGTGTTACCGTGGAAACAGATATTTGATAGAACTTTAGTTAAGTGCTCATTCCACATGAACATGTGCATATTCATTTTGAAGTAATATTTGTCAGAAAGTTATTATAATAATTACAAAAAATTAGAAGAAAATAGTCATTATTTGATCAAAAATTAATTTGTTGTTAATTTAGAAGTAATAGTAATTTCATCATTTTAAATCTGAAAGTATAATGAAAGTATCAATTAATAATATTATGTATATAATTAATCATGTTTCAGTTATTCAACAATAATTAAGGGCAAATTGGTCAAATTAGATGTAATAAATAATAACAAAATACAGCAACATCCTATTTGAAACCGTACTAATTGAGGTTTTAATTAAAATATAAATAAACCATGCAAAAAGGATAATTTTTAGAATTTATTTGTATTTTGCTTAATTAAATTTTAGTTTGTGTTACAATTGTTAAACCGAACTACAGTGAATCTGATAAAAGCATTTTATATAATAATTTACATTAACGAAACACTTCTGATAACTATGATTTTTAAAATAATTGTTTGAAAAAAATCTATTATCTTACAAATAAATATATGAAATGAACAATATACTCTAAAAGTCTATTGACTATATAGTATTATTATCGGTATACGCGACCTATTTTCCTCCCGTCCTTTGAAATCTTGATCTGAAACCTTAATCTTGGAATTCTTTTATCTGCTTTCTTTTACCGGAAATAAGCACAAAAGTCTCAAATATATCTATATATACACAATCTCCTATATTCTTAAACATATCTTACATATGTTGGATATCCCATATAGTTATTTACATTGTACATGTATTGATTCGTACAAATTCTCTTGTTTCATTCAAAACAATATATAATAATTATAATAAAACAAATAATTATAATGTATTACATTCATATATTTTGATATAATAGTCTCAGTAAAAGCGTCGGATTTAAATTTTGCGCCTTCTTTTTGTATAAGTTTGATATGTCTCAAATGTTCATGTGTCTTTTGTTAATCATATATTTATTAACAACGCGTTATTATTGTAAAAACTCAATTTAAAATAGAAATAATGAGCCCTCCATTTGAAGATTAGTTAAACAAATTGAAGAAACTAGATGGATTGTAATCATTAAGTTATCCATGAGTTACTGTATACGTTTCAAGAAGCACGTTATCTGAGGTGCAAATAACCTAAGAAAAGAAACATTCTAACACATTTGTTTTCTTATGTTTTTAACCTCAACCATTATATTATACTATTTAAATAAAACTGATGATACCGTTGTCATTAGTCATACTTTTGTTCTTGTCTTCAAGTATGTTTACTGTTGACTTCAATTTTTAATCATGTGTAACAGTTGTGCAAAGACAGCATCAATCCATCAAAATATAAACTCAATTTATCATGAAAACAAATAACCTTAAGATTTCTTTACATTTTTTGCAGCTATTACTCAAATTAATTGAAAAAAACAAGAATATTGTCTTTAAACAAGAAAACAATAAACACAACTTACACTCAAGCATTTATTCAAAAGCAATTGCGTTGCTATACTCAATCGATTTTCCTCTGTCCTTGAATTATTCTACAAAAAAACGTATAACCTTCATACATTACAACTTCTTCAAGACACTTTTATAGTTAATTGATAAATGATTATAGTATTTGAATCTATTTGATACACTTGACAGAATTTAATGTCTTATATCTTATATCCTATTTTGTAAACATATGTCACATATATCAACATTTTCATATTTAATATTAAACATTAAACAATAAATTACAGTCAATCCTGTACATTTTTTATTGTAATAATTCAATTTAATTGAAACAAATATTTTTTGATTAAATTCAATTTATATTATATAATTTTATTGACTAATTTTATAACATTCACTGCAAAAACTCATGTAGTCCTTGAAAGCGTATTAAAGATAAAATCAATAAAAAAATGTATACATTTTTTATTTATATAGTGATACCGGACTGATAGAAGCCTAACTATGCGAGATATTACTATATTTAATATAATTTAGTTGGTACTGACAGAAATGTATGTCTCATATCATATATATGTATAGTGCGGATACAGCATAAAGCAGTAGCAAGAAAGAAACCCGCATCAGTTAATTAATCAAACGGAATCCCAATTTATAAAAGCCCTGCGTACTATTTTTTTTCTGCCTCGCCTCGTAGTTCAGAGATTAATTATTGTACTTCTTAAACTAGTCGAAGTTTGTCCTTGTATCCTCAGCCATCCCTGTTTCGCTTAACACTTTTAATCTCCAAATGTACAAGTTCGTAACTTCTTCGCACATCGATTCGACGGTTCACCGAAACTTGCAACTCGTTTTTCGTACCAATTAACCATGACACAAACATATGAGACTTCTCTCCGAAAGGGTCGCATTCGAATGCGACGTAATTAATGTTGATGTTTTTTAATGTTCCAGAGCCGCAGAACCGTGACCCCATAGTGACATTCAACAAAGGAACCTACGAAATAGGTGAAATCCTTCTAGCCAACTGCACCACTGCACCTGCAAGACCACCACCGCATATAACCTGGTTAATTAACGGGGAAAAGGTAATATTTTGTGAATCCAGTTTCGAACATTTAATTTTCTCTGAGAAAAAGCGAAAGAAATATGTAACGGGTAGGAAATAAAAAAAAATGCATAAATCCCTTAGGGAATAAAGCGGCTTTGAATGTACATTCGCGAAAAAATCCACGAAGGCTCGAGGAACGGAAGGGGTGGATGAGATAAAGGGACACAAATAAATTGGCGATAATTTGTGAGGCGTTTCGCACTGGGTAAAATGGCCGCCCTGCAAGGGTTGGATGACAGTTCGTGTGCTCGCAGGATGAAGGGGGTAGGAATTGCGCCTCCGGCCGCAATTTCGCGCCCTTAATTTTCTTTCAACGAAATTTCACTAAACACAGCCTTAAATTTTCCCTCTCCAACCTGCAAAAAAAAAATAATAATAGAAGAATTATTCATACATATACACTTTGGTCAGGTCGCCATGAAAAATGAATAAACTCCCTCGGGACTGACCCAAATAGCCTTGTTTCCACATAAAGAACACTTGCTTTCTTTACTTTAGCCTTATAGTAAACTGCATGTTTTGCGGGCCGTTTTTCCGCTACGGAAAACTGTTTTATTTAGTGCGACGGCCCAGGAAAATTTATATATTTGTTTTTGTTCCGGTTCGAGAAACGTCGATTCTTGTAGGGGGAAATTCAATTAAGATTTCAATGGTATTCTGTAAATTACCTATAACTATACTTCTTGCCTAATGCTCGGTGTCTTTCCTATAATTCACCGCATCCGGTATTACGGACTCAATCCCCTCGCATCCTCTAAACTTCCTATATAAACATCCCAACTTTTTACATAAATCAACGTAAATTTACCATCAAATGCATATTTAGAATTATGAGCGATTGCGGAGCGAATAAAAAATAACTTAATTCGCACACTTTTTGCAAATGCCTGCATTAATTTCAATTAATGTCAGAAGTTTCAAAACTTGAATATAATCAAATTATCATTTTTTCTTGTAAAACATTTTTCATTTTCATGTTAATCAATTATTGCTTTATTTTTAGTCTATTTACAAACAAACAAAAATTAAATATTTTAGATAATTTTATTAATTAAATCCAATTAGATTTAAATATAATTTAATTAAGAAAAGAAAGTTTCTACTTAAAAATTATATTAATTTACATTATATTATCTTATAATTAAATAATTCATTATCTTTATAAATAATTTGTATAAACTTTCAATTTTTATTATTTTATTATTCTTGTAAAACTTTTTTCATATTAATTAATCATTGCTTTATTTATAATCGAATTAAATTTAAATACAAAAATTAAATTTTACAAAAGAAAATAAATTTCTACTTCAATTCTTTTTATTTTTCTTCATGAATTATCAATATTTTCTATAAATTTCTAAAAATTAAACATATTATTTGAAAAAGAGTTTTTATAAACTCCTATTAGACTTTTAATCAACAAGCGAATACTAATGAAAAGTTAATGGTCTAGAAATGTTACAGTTTGGTGCAAGTGAATTGAAGAAAAATTGTACAGAAAGTCGTTGAAATGTATAAACCATTGTTATAATAAATCTCATCTAATTGCTTTAATTAAAGCGCGTTATGCAATTACTACGTAAATAATTAATGCCACAAGGCGACCGCAGCAGTAATTACATCTTTAGTTAATGGAACTTTAAAAAATCATTTAAGGAAAGAACAGCAAACATTTATATATTTTTTAATCAAGTTTTGTTAATAATATTAATTCATAATTTAAATACATTTTCATATTTTACAACTGTCTTTAATAAAATCAATATTTTAATTCATTGTAGTTATTAGTAATTAATTAATGTTAAGACAATTTTGACAACTGCAGAAAAGTATTAAATAATTATTTCACTTATACTTTCCCATTACTATTCAGTTTTAAAAGAATAGTCAGTTATGTTTGAAATAAATTTACGACTAGTGTTTCCATTGGGGTCGGCAATCTGCGGCTCTTCTTATGAGAAATTGCGGCTCCCATTCTGCTTAAGCTAGAGATGATTATTTAAGATATTGTTGATTCATTTCGCTAGCAAACATCGCCAGTAACATCTCAAAAATGGCTGTTTTCCCCAAAAATATTGCCGATCCCCGATATATAAGATCATTTAAAGACTCTTATTTCTATTTTCCTTCACAAACTTCATTTATTGGAATAGTATTATGATTTTTTCTATATTTTCAATTTTATACAATGTATATGAACTTAATATAAATTATTTCCGCTTTGCTTATATGTGGCTTTTCTAGGTTAATCTATCTATATATGCATCTCTTTAAAATACTGCTGAAAATAGGATTTTTTATAAAGTAAATGACATTTACATAAAATTTCCATATTTTTAATTACAATTCATGCGCTCTCTGGAGGTGTACCATCAAAGTTGATATTTTGTAAATATTTTCGCAATATATAAAAAAATGCACATTTCCCTGTCATAAAAAAAATATAGTTTCCGGTCGATTTTGTAATGGCCTACTTGCACGACGAAATAATAGTCCGATAAATATGTAACACAGTGTACATGTGTGTCTCCATATCTGTGCGCATTCATCCATAAAACTGGATTCGTACGAAGATATAATGCATAATCAGATAGATTAAATTCGGCGCGGTAAATTCCTAAATCGCGTCATTATATCATCGCTGAGTGGTTGAAGGGATGGGAGCCCTCTTAGGGTTTATCGCACGAAAACCCTCCCCCAAAAAAATGCCCTCCAGTCGAGTTTATCGCCACCATAAATTCGAAAAATATTTAGGGGTAGTACGCCTCCTCTTTTTCCATTATAACATAATAAAAAAATATATTTCCATAAGAAAAAATATTTGAATTTCATAGAAATAAATTCAATGTAAAAAAAATAATTTCAAAATTAATTACATCATACCTTGATTAACGAATTAACTTTGTATATAGAGGTAAAAATCTTATGGCTAGAATGGAAATACGTACCTTTGTAAAGAAAATGTAAATGAAAATTCCATCTTCTGCATTCCATATATTTCTAACATCCCTTCATCAATATTTTTGGAACATATTGATTGAATTATCTGTTTAATTTCATTCCTAATTTCTTGTATGTTATTTTCTTCTTCTGGTCATATTTTATTAAATGATTTGACGCTAAAATTGGAAAAAAAAATACGTTGAATGGGGTTTGACATTTCATACTTTTTTATATCAAAGCTTCGATATCAGAGGTAACGTTAACCGAGGTAAGACTATGCAAAATACATATGAAAATTGCAGAATTATATTTTTCTATATTGTTTCGGACTTTGTTATATTGAAGCTTCGTTATTAGAGGTAACGGTAACTGAGGTAATACTATGAGAAATACATAAAAAAATTGCAGAATTATATTTTTCTATATTGTTTCGGACTTTGTTATATCGAAGTTTCGTTAACCGAGGTAAAACTGAGCAAAATACCAATGAAAATTGCAGATTTATATTTCAATACATTGGTTTGGACTTTGTTATATCGAAGCTTCGTTATTAGAGGAACGTTAACCGAGGTAAAACTAAGAGAAATACCTATGAAAATTGCAGAATTATATTTTTCTATATTGTTTCGGACTTTGTTATATCGGAGCTTCGTTAACCGAGGTAAGACTAAGCGAAATAACACTGAAAATTGCAGATTTATATTTCTCTACATTGATTTGGACTTTGTTATATCGAAACTTCTTTATTAGAGGTAACGTTAACCGAGGTAAGACTCTGAGAAATACCTATGAAAATTGCAGATTTACATTGTTCTACATTGTTTCGAACTTTTTTATATCGAAGCTTCGTTATCAAAGGTAACGTTAACCGAGGTATTACTGTATGTGAATTACCAATAGAAAAACAAGCAGTATGTAAAATTAATTAAAAAAGGTTATATTATTCAACTGAAACTGCTCATACAAATGTTTTATTTGTAACTATATATTTTCAAAACTTTTAGTTTGCTAATTAATAAAACCACCAAAATATGAAAGGCTGTTAAAAACATATGCATTTAAATGTCACAGAATTGTCGGTGGTGCAAAACTCCAGCGGACCGCAGGAGGTCTGCAAACAAAACCAAAAAAAAAAAACGACAACAACAAAAAAAGGACATCAACAACAGCACAAGCAGCAGGATCAGTGTTTGCGTGGGATGGCTTAATTATGTGGAGGCCTGAAAATAATTTTATGCCCTTCTGCAACGAGACAAAACGAAAACATAAATCCACTTTTATTCGTGCAACTTCTGTTTTTGACCGTGCACAGCGAAAACCGGTCGGCAGCACGGCATGTTTAACATGTGTCCTGTATCCTTTAGTTTTTAACGCTGCGGTTGTTTTCCAAGAGACACATCCCTCTACATAATTAATTGTTTGACCCCTTTGCCAACAATATCGAATAGCCGCTTTCAAGCAAATTTCAATTAGACGAGACGTGAGGAAGGAAAGGAAATTACAAGCAAGTTAAAGTTCGCAAGGATAACGGGAAATCGCAACTTTCTTGGATGATAGGTGAAACGAGAAGGACGAGAGAAGAAAAATGAGCTTGTTTACTTTTTTTTTACTTATCCTGAAATTCTGAAACGCTGAAAGTAAAACCCAATTAAAGGAACTTTTTCTAAACTAGCAAAGTTACTTATTTAAATGATAATATTTACCGGGGACGACGTAGGCAACGAAGAGTAGAAACCGGAAATAAAAAGGTAATTATAAACGTGGATGAGATGTTTCTTGTTAAATCTTTTAATCGCAAACGACAAAATAACACAATTTTATAAAAAAAACTCATTAAAAAATTTGTATTTGTTAAGACTTGTACAACTTCAGGCAAGAATATAATAGTTTAACTATATTAAAACTTTAATTAAGTTAACTATTGTACATTTGTGAAGATATTTAGACTTTGAAATATTTCAATATTTATATAAAACACATGGAAAAAAAATATAATTTCCTTATTATTTCTAAACTAAGTAATTCCAAAGTATTGACTAAAAATGTTATAATTAAATTTGTTGCAAATTTAATTTATTTTACTAGAATTTTTTAACAAATAGTA